CTTTTTTATTGTTATGCTGTTGTTTTTTTGTTTGTTTGGCTGTTGATGTTTTTACCGTTTTGCTGCTTGTATGTTCTTGCTTTGCTTCACTAGTTTGAGGTCCGCTTTAATCGTCTCTTTTCCCGGTTCTCTTTGATCCTCTCTCTCTCTCTCTCTCTCTCTCTCTCTCTCTCTCTCTCTCTCTCTCTCTCTCTCTCTCTCTCTCTCTCTCTCTCTCTCTCTCTCTGCCTCATTGCTTCCGCAGTCTCGGGACGTACTCCTCTCTCCATTCACTCTGGCACTCCTCTTCATCCCTCCCTCCCTCCCCCCTTTCCTTCTCCTCCCTACCTTCTGCTCCCCCTCCCCTTTCCTTTCCCTCTCCTCCCTACCTTTTGCCCCCCCCCCCCATCCTCTCGAGCCAAGACCGTAGCCGGGCGGAGGGAAGGTCAACGGCCTACATCGATTCCCGCCTGCCCCCGACCCACTCTTTAATACCGGTCGTCGGAGTTCGCTACGTCTTCTCGCCACTTCGGTCTCTGTTTGCGATTGCCAGGAGGAGTCGGGCGTTGGGAGTCTTGGCAGATTCCTTGACGCCTCCCCCACCCCCTCTTCCCCTCCCTCTTTCCCTCCTCCTCATCTCTTCCCTCTTTCGAAGGCCCTCCTTGGGCCACGGCTGTGTTTCGCTCCTTTTGTGGCTCTTCGTTCTGGCTCTCCCAGGTCTCTCTCTCGCTTCTCTTCTGTCCTCTCTCAATTTCTCTCTTCGCAGTCCTCGCCTCATTCCCTGTCTTGTCTTCTTGTCCTCGTCGCCTATCTCGCTCCTTCCATCATTTTCTTTCGCACACTTTGTGAATTGTCCCCTCTCTCGTAATCTGTTTTATCTATTTATGAACTTGAAATCATTGCGGCAAATGTAGAAATGCTATGAATGAGAATGAGTATCTTCACAGTACAAGGGACGTATTGTAAAGATATTCATTCTCATGCATCTCTCTCTCTCTCTCTCTCTCTCTCTCTCTCTCTCTCTCTCTCTCTCTCTCTCTCTCTCTCTCTCTCTCTCTCTCTCATTCCTCCATATCTCCGTCTTCCCTCTTTCTTTCTCTCCTTCCTTGCCCGACCGCCAGTCCTCTTGAATGAACCCCAAACTTCTCATCCTCCCAAACTCACACGCACTCACACAGCGGGGAGGCGGCCTAACACTGGATAGTTTCCCCCTTTTTATGTGCATGAGTTTTGCGGTACGTCAAGTGCGTGTGGGTTGAGTCCCCTCCTCCCCTCTCCCAATCTCCCCTCCCCTCCCCTCCTTCCTGAACCTTAAGCCGTTGTTCCGCCGTTGCCTCGCAGGAGGAGGGAGGGGGGGAGGGAGGAGGAGGAGGATCGCGTTGCTCAACTTTCTCCTACGACCTTCGCTTCCCTCATGACGGGTTCCAACATTGTGCATTGTCACCGCAGCGAGTCTTTGGGGTGGGGGCGGGGGTGAGGGAAGGAAGACGTTGGGGAGAGGGAGGAATGGGGAGAAGGTATTAACTGTATTGTATTCCGCACGATTTCCCCATGTGTCTTCTCCTCCTTTCTCCGTTTTCCTTATCCCCCGAAGGAGGAGGCGAAGGGGCGGTAGGGTGGCAGCGGTCCTTCTCCTTTCTCTCTTCGCCTCTTTGCATGTCAAGCAGCGTTGACGAAAATAAACTTGCATAAACTCTTGCCATGCGCTCGCCTTGCCATTCCTTATCTTCCCATCGCTCGCAGTTAATAGTTAGCGTGTGTGCAGCGCCACGGCCCTGGTCTGGTTCCTGTAGATGCCGGATATTCGTTCGTTAAGCATATCTTACAGAATTTCCTGTTTCTTTTTCTCTTTATTGCCCTAGATACGTAATCGCGTTGTCGGTGCGAGTGTGTGTGTGTGTGTGTGTGTGTGTGTGTCGATTGCCAATGCCATCTTTTTATTAAATGGCGACGTGCACATCGGGAATCTTGGTGGCGGAGAAGCGGTCGGCGGTGCGAGAGGGTGTCCGCGCGACCCCGCTCCTGTCGCTCGTTTTATGGTCTTCGCGGTCGGCGGGCGAAACGTGGGCAAGACGCACGCAGCGAGAGGTTTTAGGGAATCCTTTTTTATCGTCTTTTTTTTTGGGGGGGGGGGGGGGCAATTGTTCGTGGGGCGAAGTGCGGGTGCTTTCTGGGTCACTGATGAACAGAAGTGGTGTTCCGGTGCGGGCGGTTGGGCTGGCCGTGTCCCGGGCTCTGGTGGCAGCAGGAGCGCCGCTGTGAGCAGTATTGCGGCTGGGGGGGGGGGGGGGGTAGGAGGCAGGGGGCATGGGGCACGAGGCACGAAGCCTGTGTTGCGACACCACTTGACAGCGGCCAGCCTTAGGGAGGGGGGGGGGGGCGCCAGGTGCTCGACAACCAGTACCTGCAGGTTTTTGCGCTATCGGGCAGGTAAATGCAGGCAGGAAGGTTATCGCTTCAGTCTTGCTTACCTGCATGCTAAGCCTTGTATTATTTCATATTCGTGAGGAGACGATGAAGATCGCGTTGTACTGTTGGCCTTTTAGGGGTGTCAGCGCTGAAGATAACCATTTTTCACGTATGGCTAGCGGATGTAATTAAATTTGGGTTTTAAAAATAACGACCGGTCTTTGAGAACGACTTTGAATAATCTCCACGTTTGCATTTTAATTGTAACTCTCTCCTCCGGTATTTGTTAGATGCACCATGAAATTGCCTAATACTTTTATTTTCTCCTTGCCATCGATTTAAAAATAGGTTTTGTTATTCTTTCTGCTAATTAAAGCGCCGGGGTATGAATGAAAGGAGCGACGCCCGCACCTGGGATCCAGTAGGGGCGTGAAGGGCATCTCCCGGGTATTTAAAAAGGCCACGGCGATGACTGGACGTGCCTTTCATGGACCGCTATCGCCTCCGCCCCTAATGTCGCTCTCGCTCTCTCTCTCTCTCTCTCTCTCTCTCTCTCTCTCTCTCTCTCTCTCTCTCTCTCTCTCTCTCTCTCTCTTTCGCAATTCTTCGTCTGGCCGTCTATTTTTCTTAATATTCGCTCTCTCTATCTATCTATCTATTTTCCCCCAACTTCAAACCCCTTTTTCCCATGGCTGAACTCGAGATGGCCCAGGCGACTAGACCAATCTTCGGCCACGCCAATCCATACTTTTCCCGTCTGTGGCCAGGATTTATCACCAGACGTCATGTTTGTGGCAAAGACTCGCTGCAGTTCGCTGGTGACTATAACCTGGTTCAAGGATTTCGCTTTGTATCGCAGAGAGAGAGAGAGAGAGACCCCCGGGTGCACATTTCGAAAATCCGTCTCTTCTGGTGCGCGTGGTTCTCGTACGGCGGTGCTGCGTGGCTTAATGTAAATTGTATCCTTTCGCCCTTTTTTCTGTTTAGTCGATTTTATTCTCTCTCTCTCTCTCTCTCTCTCTCTCTCTCTCTCTCTCTCTCTCTCTCTCTCTCCTTCTCTCCTTCTCTCCCTCTCTCCCTTTCCTCCTTCATTCCTTCCTTACCCCTCCCCTCCCGTCTCCATCCCCGAGTGGCAGCGCCGGAGTGAAGGTGACGGCGGCGAGGGCGCGGCGTGACCCACATAGTCTGACCCGCCGTCCGTGTGCCCGCCGTTTACGTACCTTGGGGGTTGGGGGTCGTTCGCCCTTTTCTTGCTCAAGAGTCGCCCAGTATGCTCACGGTCTTTTTCTGTTGATTTTTCTTTATTTATTTCTTTATTTTTTTCTGTTCTCACTTTTCTCAGTCTCTCTTAATCTTTCTTTTTTTTTTTCCTCTGTCTTTCTCTCTCCCTCCCCCCTCTTTCTCTTCTCTTCTCTTTTATTGTTTCCATTATTTATTTGTTTGTTTGTTTAATTAGTTTCATCTTTTGAATTGTCGAATTATACACTTTGGTTACACACATTGTGATTGTTACTTATCGGGATGTGTGTGCTGAGAGGGGGGGGGGGCGTAGACGTATTAGCCCCCCCCCCCCCCCACGCTTGTCCCCAGCGCCAGGTCCAGCCGTACTTGACCCTTGCTCCTCTCCGTCTTTGATGGTGACGTTTCCATTCTTAAGATCCTTTCTCCTCGTCGTTCATCCTTCACTCCATCTCCGTTTTTCCTTCCTTTTCTTCCTTCATTTATTCATTTCCTTCCCTTGCTTCATCCTGTCCTTCTTTTAGCTCCTTCCCTTCCCTTCTTTCCTATTTCCTCTCTTCATTCATCCCTATCAACTTCCCTTCCTTTCTTCACTTATTCCCATCTCCATCCTTCCCCGTATTTCCCCATTTCCTTTCTCTTCTTTCCTCCCCCCCCCCTTTTTTTTCCCTTTCTTCATTCATACCCTTCTTCCTTACTCCTCCCCCCCTCCTCCTCCTCCTCCTCCTCCTCCTCCTCCTCCTCCTCCTCCATCGATGGCCCCCTTCGTGTCCGTACACAGATTCACTTCGACTGTTGCGTGTCGAGAGGGAGCGGGAGGGAGGGGAGAGGGTGAGGAGGAAGTGTTGGTGGGGGGGGGGGGGTCTTTGTTATGCGCGCCGAGACTGACAGTGATTGCAGACTCCAGTTGCAGCGTGCACCATCGGAAAGAGTGAAATTGCGATGCGATAGGAAGTCGGCAGTCTTGAGGAAGGATGAGTCAGCGTTTACGGTACCTAGGCAGCACACACCGTAATGATGATGATGATGATGATGGTGATGCTGCGTGTGGCTGTGGCTGCTAATTGTTTCCTCTGTTTGGAGTTCATTCTTGAAAGTGTTTTGGAACTTTGTTTGTGTGATCTCTTTTTTTTTCTATCTCTACTGTTGTGTGATATTAGCTTTTTTATGTCGCTGGTTATTATTGTGTGTTCGCATTTGTGAAGTGCATGAAGTACAGTAGCATTTGCATTCCATCCTTTCTTATGTTCATTTATTTCTCCATTTCTATCTCCCTCAATCTCTCTCTCTCTCTCTCTCCCCCCCCCCCTCCCGCTCTCCATTTTGCCTCCGTTTAAAGGAACCTGCCCTCACTTGCCTCTCTCCTCCCGCAGTCCCTGTCCCTGGCCAAGAAGAAGATTGTGCACTACACGACGCTGGACCCGCAGAAGAGAGCCAACGCCGCCTTCCTCATCGCCGCCTATGCCGTAAGTAGAAGCCGCTAAGCACCAGCCTTTTCTTTGGTCCACGAAACGCCAACCACTTCTCTGGACTGACACTTGAAGCGCGGTCAGATCCCCCAGCCGCTGTGCAAGCAACTCACTGTTTGTGTCTTTTTTTTCGGTTCTTGCAAAGCGGGACTTCCGCTATTCCATAATGATAGTGCTTTCGTGGCACCACCTCCGCATGCGCACCTGCCCGTCGGAGTTTGATGTCCGTAGCTCATTATTTTGTATCGATATGTATATATTTTATCAATGCCGACTCTCGTAACCTGTGTAAAGAGAGTCACTCGCCTGGTTTTCACACACCTTTCTTGGTCATGGTTACCCTTGAGTAGTGCTGTAATCTTTGCGTGTTGTGTTTACTTACACTTATACTGATCAATGTTTCGTTTACATTGACGCAAAACTCTGAAGCGCGAGGTTTCCTGGATATGACAGCCTCATTCACACGCTCATGTCCTCTCAGTCTATCACTTTCCCTTTCACACACACGCATACATGCCCACATACTCACACACACTCACATTCACTGGCATACTCGCACGCACATCACGCGCACACATTAATGCTAACAAACATTCTCTCTTATTCTTATTCTTATTCTTATTCCTACTCCTACTCCTACTCCTACTCCTGCTCTCCCCTACCCTCCCTCTTTTTCTTCCTTCCTCCTTTTCTCCGCTATACTTCCTTAACTTTTATTTTCATTTTATTAATTTGTTCCTTATCAGTCTCCTGCGTAATATATTTGCCTTCTAAACTAACCACATGCAGCCTTGTATAAATAACATTTTTCATTATATATTTCACTAATACTTTGCAAGAGTGAATGTTTATTTTACCAACTAATATACATTTCTCTTGATTGCATAGCCACTGCACTTTTAAAAAATCAGTAGCCCTGTACTGCACCTCTTTTTCTGTCCACAGGTTGTATTGTATGAGCTGTACATTTTTATGGTGTTTTGATCGGGTATAAGTCTATTTTTTTGGTTTTTGGTTTTTAGTTGCACTTAAACTGGGCAATTATTTGCTGCATTTCTGTTGTCACATGCACTGCAACATGTACTCATAGTGATGCACTAATTTTTTAAACTCTCACTCTGTTACTTTTGTGGAGGAGTCTGTACTCTATCCTGTAATATGTATATATATTTTTTTAATTTCCTTTTTCTATTACCCTGTTGTACGTAACGTGTTTCGTTAAGAAGACACAAATATAATACCCTTCGCACTATCGTATTATTACCCTGAGTTTCGCCTCGTAGTGTATATAAATTATTCCTTGCAAGCGCCGCGTCGATGCGACTACCACCCCGTCTCAGCAACATTTCTGCAACGTCGGAGGAGGGAATTTGCAAGGGAAGCAGTTCTGCCTCGACAAGGGCTTTAGGAAGTTTGGATGAATCACGCTTCTCGGAGACGAGAGGCAAAGCGAGGGAACAGCGTCGCGAGGAGGCGGCGAAACGTGGGGATTTTTCTCTTTTTTTCCTAGATTAATAAGCAAATTTGTGCCTTTTTCCCTCGAATTCTCAGCATTGGGAGTGATCCGGTTGTGATTGATTCTCACTTGATGGTAATCTTTTTTGTATAGGAATCCCTTGAGGAAAGAGGATTTCTCGAGGCTTCCCTTTTTAGCTGCAATTGCGCTGTTGTGAAGTGCGGATTACCAAGAGGTTGAATGAGCGGTGCCGAGCCAGAGATTGATTTTTTACGGCCCGTTTTGGAGATTCGGTCGCCGGGTTAGGCTGGGGCAAAATCGCAGCTCGAGCACCGAGGTCCTAGTTTGGTTTTGAAAGCTTGGGGGTTTCTTGGCCATTATGGCAGGTTGTTTCGAGGTACTTTAGCATGGGAATTGGTGTTTACATTTAATTTACGTTGGTCGTCCCCCCTGCCACGTGCTGAGGAAGAAGTGATAATGCGCAATCGGCCGACATCGACGGCTAATCGCCTCGGGTCAATGGCTGGCGTCAGCGTGCATGGCGGGGGTAGGGGGCGTGGTGCAAGAGGTCGTCCCGGTCAGGGCTTGGATGCTTGTCCTGTCTACGGTCATATAACCTTTTAACCTGCGTGACATTTTGAGCTATCAGAAACGGTGGCATAACGTGGCTTGTGCCGTAGCCTGGTCGCACATTCCTCTTGTCTCTATCACAGATATGACAGCTCGGATCCCCAGTGGCCGCGGTGGGGCTGTGATGACGGGGGCGGTCGGTGCGAGCGGTCCCAGAGGCGGTAATGGCCGAGCGTTAACGTCCTTTTCCATTAGCAATGTAGTGACTGCGCCTGTGACTTTTTATTAAGGGAATTAGCTATGGGTTTTGATGGTCAATGGAGCCGATGGGACGCCCTCGCACAGTGCCGAGGCTACTGGTTCTTCGGTTCCTTTGGT